GGCCGGGATGAAGGAGGATCACGACTCGCATCGGATCACATGATTGATCGGTGGAGAGAGAGAGAGAGAGAGAGAGAGAGAGAGAGAGAGAGAGAGAGAGAGAGAGAGAGAGAGCACGGCTCGGGATGACAATGGAATTAACACCAAGACGAGCCCAAACGAGGCCGGGATAGAGGATCGCGATGCGCATCAGATCACGCGATCGATCGATCGATCAATCAATAAATAAATAAATAAATAAAGAGAGAGAGAGAGAGAGAGAGAGAGAGAGAGAGAGAGAGAGAGAGAGAGAGAGAGAGAGAGAGAGAGAGAGAGAGAGGGAGAGAGAGAGAGACTGTCTCTCTCTCCCTCTATCACACGCACACACACAACCTCCTGATCAGCCAGTGAAAGTCCAACAGAACAGTTTGCCAAAGTCATGTTTTTTTTTAGTGTATAGCGAATATAACGACCAAAAAAAAAAAAAAGTGACAATGTATATTTCCATGTTCTCACGCCGATTCGACACGACATGCCCAAGCAGTGTGACATCAACAGTCCAGGCCCCCTATAGTCCGTCCATCTCCTCGGCCGTAGCCGGCTGCGGCGGTTCCACTTGTACTTATAAAGCGTAACGCGGGTCTCGCGTAAGTGCAAGTTGCCCCCATCCCCGTGTGCCATAACAGCCCACTTGTACGCTGTGAGAAAGAGGCAGAGTGAAGGGGGAGGGGATAAACACAGGGAAGAGAGATGGAGAAAAGACAAACAAAGAATGATAAAGGGAAAGTACGGAGTGTGGAGTGAAGATGAAAGCAACAGAGGATAAGAAAAGTTTCAAGAATGAGTTTGTCCTTGACGACAGAGAGGACATACATTGTAAGGATGAGGTGGATGAACACATGGAAGACCTAGCTGAGCATTCTCGATACAACAATTGCCACAACGGCCGGCATTGAGCATGTCCACCATACACCGCCGACAAATGGCATGTCGATTGCAGGCAAAAATGAAGGAAGAACGGTCGTCACGAAAGACCATGCATTCAGTATAGCGCCCATGGCCGCAAAATGGACATAATAGTGTCCAGATGCGGGAGGGTGCCTGCAGACAGTAGCGGAGGGACACTCCTCTGCACACATGGATGCAGAAACCATGTCATCGTACTGACTGTAACAGAGACGATGTCGGCTACAGCCGAGTGAAACAGTGTTTGTAACCGTGCAAAGGAGAAGATCGCAGAGTGTTAGTACATTGTCTTGCTGCAGCACGGGGCCAGAGGAATGGTCTTCGATATAAATTAGATTGCAGACAGTTTGTTGTGGCAAGAAAACAACAATGATGTAAGAAATCAGTGACATCAGCCATTGCATGAACTATGGTGTCGCTGTCCCACAGCTCCCAGTGGTCAGAGGCATGTACAATGGGCATATAATGGTTGGTCCGTGCACAATGCAGGCAGAGATGTGGGATTGAGGATTACACCAGTCACCTGCTCGAGCATTGCGTAGTTTAAGTTGACGGTCCCTCATCGCTACTTGCAGGACAGCCATGGTAAAGCCTCCTTCCCCATTATAATTACAATCCTCTGGCTGTAGATGGGGAAGATCAGCATCAAGCTGAAGGGCGATTGCAAGGAAGTCTAACGGTTTATAAAACGGGCGGTGGAGAATGTGAAGACAGATATTAACTGTCGTCAGACCACAGAGATTGCTGAGGTTCTCAGGCTGGTGTGTTGGATGCTGGCCAACAATTTGCAGATCACCCAGATGATGTTGCAAGCCCAAACTGTATTGGGTTGTTTGCTGGTCAGTCATTTGCAGATCACCCATGTGGTCTGAGCGTGGCGGGGCAGAAATTAGTGGGTCATCTGAGCAATGCTGGTCAGCCATTCGCAGATCCCTCATGTGGTCTACGCCTTGTGGGGTCAACTGCAATCCGGGCAGATCATGTTCCAATCCCTCAATGTTTGGGGCCACATCCTGAGTACAGACTATCCCTGGAATCGGGAGTATAGTCTGGGCAGGGACCACATCCTGTTGTACAGGTGGGTCACAAATCTCTAGCGCGGAAGGGCATAAAACATGGTGCTGTGGCTGCCTGCAGGCAGCCGTACTGTATGCAGGAGGGCATAAAACAAAGAGCTGTGGCTGCCTGCAGGCATCCGGACTGTATGCAGGACGCATAAAAGTGGATGTAGCCGCTCAGAACAAAGGACCCACAACGACCTGTGGAGCAGGCACAAAGAAATTGGGGTAGACAAAGAAACAGGCTGCTGAGCCGTGACGATGCCGCGCATGTCGTCGACGATACACAATAAGAGGAGTGGTGGTGTTGCAAACAGAAGATGAGGATGTCCCTGGCAATGAGGGGGAAACAATGGGAACGATGGAAACTGGAGAATCCGTTCTCAAACGAGACTGTGGAGGGGATGGGGGTGGCGAAGAGGAACGCAGCCATCTGCGGCCAAGCATAGAAAGTGATGAAATGAGGGTGGGTTGATTGGGCAAGATTTTGAAACATAGGACGCAAGCGTCGGAGAGACTGTGAGCTTCTTTGTGCTGGAGCTGGGGCAGAGGAGGCTGTAGCAGCAAATAGTATAGTACGGGGAATTCCAGCCACAGCAGCAGAGGACACGCTCATGCGAAGCGAGCCATCAGAACGTACCCGTAGATGCACACCTAAAAAGGTACACGAGCCATCTCTAGCCGTAGTTTCCTTCCACTCAAGCCCATACTGCTCTGAAGGAGGAGGTGATTACCCCCATGAAAAAACATAATCAATGAGGCGATAAGTGAAGGCGTATCACTGAGTGGCTTGTAGATCATGTTGACGAATGTCATCAACAACGCGTGCTTCATCCCAGTAGAGCGTCTGGGCCAGCATTTGTTCCCATTGGAATACCAATGCTTTCCTTTCGAAGAGTGCCATCTCTAGTATACAGAAAAGTGTTTTGTACAACAAAGCAAAGATGTCGGAGAATCTGAGAAACGGAAAGGGTGTCCGGGCCTGAATCGGTTGTCCATTGGCCAGAGCGGAGTCCTCAAATAACCATGTTCAGGGCTCTGCACCGCGAATGCGTGCGAGTATGCTAAAGGGCATAAGCATGGGCTTCATCAACAGCTTTTGCCACATTATTCAGAATGCGGTCATGAGGAAGGTTAGTCAACATTGTGGTCAAATCAACCATGCGAGGAGAGAGGATGCATTGTTTTTCAGGTCAATCGCCACCTCATCGGCACTCTGAACGACCCAGCACCGTTGAACACCAACCTGTTGATAGAGCTTATGTTTTGTGCATTTTCCTCGGTCTGAGGCCATCCTCAGCAGTGCATGGGGCAGATCAGTAGAGGAGGGTGGAGCACCCATCTTCGCGCAGTCCACAAATGTCAGTCCCTCCTCAGCTCGCCTCCGACTCCCGCCTCCAGCATCTCTGCGTAGAGAGAGGGGGGGGAGAACGGGTGTCTGCCACCACGAGCATAGCCGCGGCGGTTATGCGCTTGTTCCAATAAACTTTGACTTCCGTTTTTTATGTATTTCTTCCTGTACCTGGTTTATGGATGAGTGCTATTGGAATGGCAGGTCTTCGTCATAACTTAAACCACCAGTACCTTTCCCCACTTGAAAAACGAATGCCCGCCGGTTAACACGGGGGGCAGGCAGCTTCGAAACCACTGGCGCGAAATGGCTGGTGGCGCCAGCCAAAACCGAATCCCTGCCGGTTCGTTTTTTTTTCACACGCAGGTCGATTTTAGGCTGGGCACCGACAGCTAAGAAGGTACTGGTGGTTTTAAGGAGTTTATGATTTTGTTTTTCACCCTACAGTGCTTGGCCGCCTAGCTGAACACGTCCAGGCCCGGGTTTGCCCAAGTAAATCAGAGAGGCCAAAAGTGGGCCAACATTTCCTCTCCCCGCCCCCCTCCCCCCAATCCGACTGCTCGCCAGGTATCTGGGGAGTCACAATCAGGGCCTTGTCTTTCAATTTTGTGCTGGGTCACCTAGGCGGAGTTGGGGGATGAATGAGCATTTTGACTTGGATTGAGGGGTTTAGACTACTGTCTTCCCCCGAATACAACGTACGCCATAAGGACATTATTGCTGTATGTAGACTGAAAGTGGCACCAAATACAGCTATAACCACTGTACAGTCTATTTGGGGAAAGATGGTAGGATATATTTTGGCGAGCTCGGGCTGCCTCTCACCGCCCGGAATGCCAAGGTGGGCATTTATTTGGACAACGCCCTTTCCAGGTGCCAGCCAGCCCCATGGCAAAATCAAAGTCAATGAAAAGAAACTCAAGAAATTCTGGGAAAAACAAATGTTGTGTAGTATTGCAATGCAACAACTTTGGCGGAGGATCACCTCAGAGTTCCTGATGGAATCAAAGATAGAAAAGAAAATAAGAAACCAAACTAAGACTCACCCCTTTTTAAGTTTTAAACCCTTTACAAAGTTCACAGCCGTTTAAAGTTTAAACCCCCATTTATACCCCCTTCCGGCCCCAACCGACAAAAACAGAAAAACAAAAAAAAAAGCCCGGATTTGTGCTTCTTTTGGTGGCCTCAGAAACCACCACCCACTGAAGTTGATCCAGGCTGCCTGGGCCCAGGAGGGCCCCGGGGCCACCCTGGTAACGTAGAATACTTCGAAATCTTAATGAGATCTGTCAGCTCTGACCGCCCCCTCTTTCAGCTTCAAACGCCCACGTTATGGACCCCGAACAACAGACAATCTGGACCCTGTCCAGATGTCCCGAGCTCCAGAGGGTTTCCATCAACTTTGAATAGAAAAGAAATTGCAACATTCTTTATACTTCCCAAACCCTACAGCCACACCATGCAACACATAAACACCATAAATGTTATTGTATGTAGATCGAAGTACACACACACACACACACACACAGAGAATGGACAGAATTTGGCTGCCACGCATAGCGTACAAAAAACTAACAAAAGGTCTAGTTTAGGTTGGCATTAAGAGGTCATGACAAAAAAATGAGTGTAGTAACATAAATACTTACGGCTGGGAATCAAGCCATCGGGGTCGGAATAATTGTATGGGTTCATCCCATCATTTACATATGCCTGAAACTGTGCATCGATCGCTGAGTGGTTATACTTGTTTAACTTTTTGTTCCTTGCCACCTGCACACACATGCCATAGTGAATCAATCAATTAATCAATCAATCAATCAATCAATCAATCAATCAATCAATCCAACAAATGGATTAGCCATCCAGTCAGTCTATCGAAGAACCATAACCCTTTTACCTAGAATTGTCAACAGTGTGCCCATGTGCACAACTGAGTCACCCACAAACTAATTGTACAACAAGCACTGACAGACATGAAGTCCAAGCACAGAGAGATGACCACCCACACACGTAACGAGTAGCAAAAGCCCTGTGCCAACGCAGTTCTTACAACCCTAGTCCTCGTCGCGTTCTAACTCGGCGAAACTTTCACATCAATATCACACAAATACAAACGCAGTTCACTGCCGATTGCACAGAGGGTGACAGCTGGCAAAAGGAAGGTTGGTTTCTGCAAGAACCTTTGCTTTCATAACATTGTAAGTTGTGGGAACACAAGTAATAACACTCAAGCCTCCCCCCTCCTTTCTTCCTTCGCAGAGTCTGTTAGAGAGCATCGCTGCTCTTCTTAGAGGCTCGATCGATCCTTCTGTGGAGCTTCCTCGTCTCCAGTGCCTCACTCCAGCCTGTATGTGTAGCCCCAGGCAAGTGCAGCTGATAATAGAGTCTCCCTCCAGCGTGCACGCAAGGAATGAACATGCACAAACACAGCTCCGCAGCAACCTCATCTCTGGTGCCTTTCTAGAGGAACACACTATCGGGTTGCTAACCGACGATGCTGAAAGTGATAATCCACCTTAACCCACAGCTGCGGTTGAGCATCAACGACTTCCCGACAACGATCAGGTTGCTTTCTGGTATGAACAGGAAGTTCTTTAGAATTCGTCCAAAATACAGTGGCATGTGAACGGCGGAATGGACAGAACCAGGTGTGCAGCGCATAACCATGAGAAACATTTCAGCGCCGTGTTCTGCACCAACTGAAGGCAAGCGATGAACATAGACAAAGGTGGCCGGTCAGGAACGTTATGTCTAACACTTTTCTGGAAGAAGGGACTATCAGGTTGCTTACTGTTCGAATTCGCCCAAAACAACAGCATGTGGGAGCACTCTACCTGTTCTAGGTTGCTGCCCTATGGGCATGGCCAACCGTCTTCACCCGAATAGAATGCCCGGTCATTATAGCCATATTTGGTGCAACTTTTAGCCCAGACGCAGCGATAATGACCGGACGTTTTTATTCGCGTGAAGATCGGGGTGTTGGTGGGGTTGTTGGGGGTTATGGACTCCCAGGTTTTTTTTTTGCCTTTTTCTTTTTCTTTTGCAGGGTGCCGACGACTCCCAACCGGTGGGTGGTGACCAGTCAAGGGGCGCCGACCGTCAGGGTATGGAACATTGCTTGCCGGTGAAAAAGGAACCAGACTGTCAGTCCCAGAATGGATATGCAGCCAGGCCCATAGGGACCTGTTTTCAGTAGGGGGAGGGGGGAGGGAAAACAAAACGGGAAGAGCTTCCAAAAAGACGAGGCACTAGCATCTGGATCAGAGATGTGTCCAAAAACAGTTCCATGTTTGTTTTACTTTTACCTTGAGTTTGGTGATACATTTTCCAATAACCCTAAGGGCATACTCACATTAGGACTTTTGCTACTACGCTCTGGACGTGGTTGCAGTCAGATCCACCCAGGTCTGGCCGTAATTGCAGTCAGAATCTGTCAGATACATTAAGCAAAGTACCGGTGTGAGGGCATATACTGAAACTAGGGAATTTTTGACTCAGCTCTCGATTTGATTGCAGACAGATGCATTCAGGTCCAGCCGTAATTTTGGTCAGACGCATTGAGAAAAGTGCTACCTTCTTTCCCCAAATATAACGTGCGGTCATTATAGCTGTATTTAGACTGAAAGATACCCCAAATACAGCTATTATGAACGTACATTATATTCGGGGGAAGAAGGTAGTGTGAGTATGCCCTGAGTACGCCATCAGTCAGAAGTTCCTGGCGCAATGCTGCACAATCTCTTTTTTCCTTTTGAAATGTGAATTAATATATTTGGGAAATATAAAAATTGTGTGTTTAAGCCTTTAAGGTGGGGTTCGGTTGTGGCAGTCCCCCCTTGGACAGGCATTTAGGACCACAAGGGTAAGGGCTGTCCCCTTTTCTGAAGACGCTTTGTGTGTCCTTGAACTCGTTGAACTCATGCTTGCTGGTGATAACCAACCGGACTGATGCCGCCCAGAAGAGAAGGGGCCTCGAGTAAAAAAACAAACAAACAAAAAAAAAAAAAAAAAAAAAAAAAAAAAAAAAAAAAAAAAAAACTTTAAAAACAAAAGGGAAACACCCTTCAAGTGACATCATCAAACTGAGCAGCCCCAAGTTATTCAGGTTATAATCAGTTATAGAATGTGCTGCATTCGTCTGATTCCATCAGGATCCGAACACGGGTTCATCGATCAACGGTTACAAATGTACGATTCACCCACATGGGCTTGGTTAAAATTGTTTTTTCAACTTTTTCTTCTCTTTTGTGACTTTCCTGAACACTAACGACATCACAACAAACATAGCTCTATCGTTTGACAAAAAAGAAAAAAAGAGGAGAACAAACACAGCTAGATGGGACTGCATGCATGTCTGGATGTCCAGGTCGGAACTAAGACAAGAACGGACAACAAGCGAATGCCATCCTTCGGGGCATCTATTAAAATTGGAACGATACAGGGAAGGGTAATTACTAATTAGCATGGCCCCTGCGCTTTCAAGGATGACACGCAGAAATCAAGAAATGGTCCAAAGAAACAAAGAAAAGGGGGGGAAAAAAGATACAAGTGAATGGCATAGAAAGAAGTCCCAACTAACCTCATCATGCAGGCAATGGCGTGCATAATGATTGGCAATCGCATACTCATAACCCTTTCTCCAAAGAAACCACTCGAATATCCTCATGGGATCTACCCTGAGCCGAAGCTTGCTATCAATCCAGATAGAGTACCTGCTTTCAACCATGCGAGCCAAACCAGATGGAGTTTTCGAAATGATTATACTGCACACATTTCCAAATTGAGGCAAAATATCCGTCCTGGCACATCATTGCAATCAGACTCGCTTTATTTCCACTTCGCACACATGCAAACAGATGGAGTCACACTGGCGCAGGGCGCCCACTCAAAGCTCAGAGATATGGAAATCCAGGACACAGTTCAGATGCAAGTTCTCTTCTACAGGCAATGGCGCATCAGCGCCTGAACATCCCAACCTTCGTCACTGTGTCCAATCCCACTGTTCACACACGCTCACTCTGGATCACCCTGAATACCACCACGCACATACACTATGTCTAACTTCCTCCTACAGCGGCTATGGCCGCACCACCTACTGACTATGGCTACGATCTCTCTTCAGCCCACTTCGTCTTCGGGCAACCTGCAGACCACCTTCGCACAAGACGCTGTAGCAGCGCTTCCGCATAGCTTCCGCAGCGAATGAATGAATGGCTGAGCGCTGCCTCTTGATTTATACTTCTGTAACTTGTTGGTCTGCCCCTTTCCATCGGCTCATGGTGCACACAGTCCCTCATGGTACTTGCTGGACTGGACTGAGACTAACTGGACCGGTACGGCTGACTGCATGGGTTTGCAACTTTGCACTGCCACTTCCGGACTTTCCGGAAGTCTGTGGGCTTGGCCTTTCGGATACTGTAGCAGATACGACCTTGACCTTTCAGGACTGTAGCAGCTACGACCTTGACCTTTCAGAATACCTACAGCTACGACCTCTACAAAGCTGTGACTCCTAACTGACAGACCTACAGATCGAACCCCTACCACTACACGACCTACGACAGACGACAAACAACTACCAAAACACAGGTCACGGGTTCAAACACTCAAGTGTCGACTCGATTCTGTACACGGACAAAGTGAGGTCTGGGAATCGAACTCTAGGGCCCGCATCTGTGACTGAAAACCGTTTCATCATTCAATGACAGTCTCACAGATGTCTCTACAATTTAACATCACACACAATGTAAAATCACACAAAATTTTATGCAATGACACCATACAGACGACACATCAATCTGTGGTTGCTCGGAATGCTAGAGACAGGTTTTAAAACCTCAGTCAGTGAACCGCCACCACGACTACCACCTTGTCATACACGTCTCTCTCTCTCTCTCTCTCTCTCTCTCTCTCTCTCTCTCTCATGAGCGCGTGCGCGCGCGGTATGCAGAGCCCTGCTAGACCACTTTGGTTCAGGTCGCCTTACAACCGCCCATTCAAAGGTTGGAAAAAGGAAGGAAGCTGGCACCCCCTGCTGATCGTCGCAGTCTTAACTCCTCTGACATCCCACCGACCCAGTCACGTACTGTAAAATGTTGGCCCCATATGGCAGTCACAAACCCTCACATCGTGTCACGCCAGATGCTGTGCAAGGCCTCTGCTTAGAAGTACATCCCCTGAAAAGTGACAAGCTTCACGGTAACCAGGAGTCTAAAAGTGCACTCGCATCACACCTGTTGTGGATAAGCCTGACTGGCATCTACTTTTAAATTCAACAAGCATAACAGTCCAGAGCACATGCTGTTTGTATCCAGGAAAACCCCACTCACACCTCCCGTCTTCCCCCGAATTGAACATACGGTCATTTTGCCTGTATTTGGGGCAACTTCCCATCTACATTTACACAGAAGATTAGGTGTGTAGTTTGGGTGGAGGAACCTTCATCAGCATTCATACAGAGCGCGGCATCCATGACGAATATATTCGTTTATAACGCCCAGGCGTTATATTCAGTAAATTTGTGGTAACTTCAGTGAGGCCCCAAAATTCCGAAAAAAAAGCAAATAAAAAAATTGAAAATTCCGAAAAAAAAAATGTTGTCCAGGATTGCAATGCGACCAACTTTTGGCTGAGGGCCACTTCAGAATTCCTTATAAACTCGGAAATAAAAAAAATAAAAACAAAAAATGATTTAAAAATCAAGCCGAAATATGCCCCTTGGAAGTCAAAACCCCATTCAACCCTCTTCAAACCCCATGTATACCCCCTTCCACGCCCTTTAAAACCCATGTATACTACCTCTTCAAGGCACTCTGCCCATGGAACATTCACATATAACGCCCGGGCGTTCTATTCGAATATAGTGCCCGGGCATTCTATCCGCATATAGCGCCTGGGTTTTCTATTCGAAGGGGCGTTCTATTTGAAACAAAGTAAGTACTAAGAACTTAGTAAAAAGTAGTAAAAACAAAAATCTCATATTTTTAAGGTAAGTCGAATATAACGCCCGGGCGTTATTTTCGGGTGAACACGGTAGTGTACCACAAACAGTCAGTCATTTCCAGTGGCAGCTAAGGCACTTTTATGGATCGGGCGATACTCGATGATAGGAAAGATGATATAAGAATCAGACCTTGCTTGAGGGAACAGCCTGTGAGCAAGCAGCTTCGGTATCTTCCCTGTCCGCCTGGGGTCAACAAATGGCATGTTGCGAACCAAAATGACTCTCCATAACCCCACCTTGCCATCAACATCTGGAGGTGTGCCATCTGATATCATCCCATCCAAGCTCACTTGATCCACAAACATAGCAAAGCACACACGGTCCCTTGATTGCTGCCATATCTGCACCACAAGGGTAGGTAGACCCATCCTGACCATCAGTGCATAAGCCAAGATACCATCCTCCTGTCCGTGGGCAATGAACACTGCAATGAACACAAATTGGTTTAGACGCGTAAAGGAAAGATTCAGATCTTATATAATTCAATTAAACTGTTTAATGCAGAAGAAGGGAACAGAAACGCAGGAGGGAGGGTGGAACTGAAGAGCGAGTAGGAAGGAATCTCTCTCTCTCTCTCTCTCTCTCTCTCTCTCTCTCTCGTGCGCGCCCACAGTTCGTGTGTTTGTGTGAACCCCCCGAAAAAAGCACGACTGTGCCAGACTGTTTCGTTGGACTTTCACCAACTCATCAGGAGGTTGAACCCCGACAGTCTGCCCATGATGCATTTGCGTGCGTGCGTGCATGTGTGTGTGTTCGTACGTGTGCGTGCGTGCGTGTGTTTGTGCTTGTTCGAGCGGGCGGGCAGGCGGGCATGTTAGTGCGTGTTGTCTCATTCGCTATACACCGGCTCCATGCACCGCCAAAGATATGCGCGGGGGCCAAACCGCTGCGCCCTATAGGAGACCGGCCCGCCTGGAACCGGTTGCTCCCCACGCCTGGCAGCCCTAACTTCGGTTGTGCTGCGAACTTCTAATCTGGGCCGTTGGCCAACTGGTACCGGGCCGACGGCCCAGATCGTCGCACGATCTTAAAATTTTAAGATCGCGCGACAATCTGAACCGTCGGGCCAGTAGGACCATGGACAGTCTGGATCATCGCGCGATCTTAAAGTCTTAAGATCGGGTGACAATCCGAACCGTCGGGCCAGTAGGACCGGGACGGTCGGATTGCAGATTTCTCACATTAGCGATTTTTTATAAGCGTAGGGAAACTGTGGCTTGTTAACGGGCACAAACGGGCACAACTTTAGGAAGTACTGGTAGTTTAAGACACTTGGCTCCTGTGGTCAAGGGTGCCAGTTCGATTCCGTGCAGGCCAGAAAGTATGGAGCCAGAATTACTAACTACTGCCGATGGAAGGAGAATTGTACTGCTGCTCCCCAGAATAATCCGTTGGAACGATACAAAGAAGATTACCATGGACCCAGCACAAGATTTAAAAAAAAAAAAAAAAAGAGCCGTCAAGGGCTTCATGCATAACAAGTGAGTGAAATCCACACACCTCGGTCTCCTCCGGGGCCTTGATTTGGTCCCAGTTGCCAAAAATAGCCGATGAGACAACATAGTCGCACTTCCTCATCCACTCACGATCTTTCTCATCCAAGTCATATCCGGAGCTGCCATTAACCCCATCAACAAATCCACAATGCAAACGTTGGTCCACAGCACGGTAGCTGTTCTCCCAATCTGCCTCAGTTGGGTGTCCACCGAACTTTGATTCCAACGAATCTTCCCGCGGAACATACCACAAGGAAAACTGCTTGAATCGTGGGTCAACTTCTGGCTCTTTCAGCAACTCAGGATCATTCACCAAGTCAACAGGACAAGCTGCAGGCCGCAGAAACAAACGACCAAAAACGTTGGTATCAAACTGAGTACTTCGCAGGAGGTGCTGTACGTGTCGTGTGACTGACTTGTGCACATATGTAACCATTGACAAACCCATCAAAACTTCAGATCCTAATGCATGCAGTGCGCCAGTGTTAAAGGCTTTGATTCCTCACAAGGTGCTGGCAAGTCATCCGATAGACATTTCCCTATCCCTATCATCTTCACCTCAATAAAAATGTGCCATCATTATAGCTGTATTTGGGGCAACTTCCCGTCCAGATGCAGCAAAAATGGCCTTACGTTCCATTCAGGGAAGACGGTAGTCGGCATCATTTATGGTCAAGGACGAGGACGGTATCTGATCGTCCGCGATCCCTCACGTTTCATTCTTGATTAATGAAAAACTTGTAAAACAAACAAACAAACAAAAATCTGATCGTCCGCGATCCCTCACGTTTCATTCTTGATTAATGAAAAACTTGTAAAACAAACAAACAAACAAAAATCTGACATCAGAGAGAATAGGTGCTTTCCAAGAGCTGCTGCACGAGCCATGCAACTGAGCCCCACACATATGTAAGCACCAGCAAACAGATCAGGGACCGAATGTATGCACTGTGCAGTAACAATGTTAAATGTAAAAAAAAAAAACACAAGAAAAACGGCAAAGAAAAGGGCTTCACCAGTGCTACGTCGTCATTCTCAGGCTTTAGATTTGAAGCATGTTCATTGTTTTCCCAAGAGGGAGAGGGCAAGAGGAAAGATGGCAGAAAGGGAGGAGGAGGAGGGGAGGCGATAGTCCGTCCTTCACGGTAAATATGAAAGCATAAGCACATCTTTTACAAAACAGTGAAGATCCATGTTGCTGCACTAGCAGCAGGGTTCAAGCCACAAAACACACTGACATTCACAGTGGAAGGTCCAGGCGATAACAGACTTCGGACGGTAAGTGACCATGATGACAAGAGTTAGTTGTCGGCAAGCTCTCGAAGGACATAACAAGTTGACTTAGATTTTTCATCTTACAGTACGTCTCCATTTCAGCACTATGTAAGTTCCGGTTCAGTAATACAGTCACCGCCTCAGCAAGAAGGCAATATGCGACATATCCTAAGCAGCTTGGTCGTCCTTTCCCCGTTCCAAGAGCAGCCACCGATGCTAACCTCATAAGAGGGCAGCCAGGTTTCTGACATTCTAGATGAGCCTCTGGCCCAAACGATGTGCTACGATAAGGTAGGCATTCGCAAAAATACCTGACAAGTTCGAACACAGGTCTTAACCCCAGTTTCAATTCAGTGCCAAATATATCTGCTCAAAAGACTGCCCCCCTATTTACTTCCAGACTCTCTTGCTCACCAATAATCTGCACTTTAGGCAGGGGGAGCTCCTGCGAACAGCTTGGATTAGGTGCAATGAAGTCGTGTATGATTTAACCCGCATAGCGACTTAGACAATACAAAGATTAATACAGGGTAATCCAGATCAAGACACCAGAATGGGGGGAAGCTAGCTGGGCCAGATGTTATTCGAAGAGAGCCAACATCCCAACCCACCGGTCTAGAGCCAATTCTTTCTTTCCTCTGACAGTTTTTCTGTACTAGCATAACATTTATTCGCCAGCTTTGTCACAATGTCAAGGTTGCAGTACCTTTCCTCATCATATAGAAGTCGGCATTTGATCGTCCACGGGGTTAGGACCCACAGGAAAGCAATCATCTAAGTACCCTAATGACAGAGAAGGTCCACCATTCAACTAAATCTTTCTTCACGAGAATGTGTCATGCTCACACCCAATTACTCTGGGGTAGTTTCTTTCAGAGCCTGTTTCCCACTAGCTCCCCCCTGAATCTTCCAATACCTTGGTGACAAGCTTCGTTTTCGAAGTAGGACAACCCTTGACATCATGGTCGAAACATTTGCCCTCTACTTGTCACTTCACATGTAGCAATCTTTACTAATCTTCCTCATATCACAAAGAGAAAAACTAAGTAAAAAACAAAAAACCAAAAAATCCACATGTAGCCATCCGCATATTTGTTGTAACAAACGAAATCATTCCCTGAGAACCAGATAAAGACGATCACTAACATGGACAAAGCAAATCCTGAACAGACTCGCCAACATCCTAACATATCGAAGGGAGGCCCATAGCACCCATGCCCACACCCACACCCACACCCATGATGGGTCAAGCACCTGAAAGGTGGTATTGCTAGCATGGAGCTGTTCTGCATTTGGACTGGGTTCATGCTGGTGTAGCAAACTTCTAGTCAGATGCTCGCAACAACCCTTGTTTGGATCGGGTTCATGCTAGTGTAGCAGCAACTAATAGTCAGATGGTGGGGCCAACCTTAGGAGGGAAGCGCCCGATGCTTACTGGATTTCTTATGCATGGCAGGTGTACCCCTCCTCCTCTTCTTTTTTTTTTTGTGCTTCACCGTATTCAGCAGCTGCGACACCTCTTTGCCCTCCTTGGCAGCTGATTGATCCTCCACCTGCAGCTGGTTTCCTGCGTTGTCAACTGTCAGTCTAGCTACGTAACGAGTGCCTTCTTGTGTTCCTTCCTTTGCATCAGTTGCACCAGTCTCATCAATACCATCATCAGCTACAACCCCCCCCATGCCAACACCACCATCTCCACGATCCACTTCCCTCCCCAGCATCCCACCAACTTCATTCCCATTCACCCTTCCCTCCCTTCTACGCTCAGCGCCATCTTCAGCACCGCTATCGTCGTCGTCTCTCTCCTCACCAGGTTGCTCCAAAGCGCTTCTCTCCCTCTGCTCGTGCTCACGAACAGAGTTTCCTTTCACCAAAACTCTGTTTGGATCTTCAATTTCGTCATCAAAATCAACAGTGTCATCGTCGTTCTCATCACCACCATCAAGAATCCCATTACGGTTCGCTTCTTCCACTCGCATCCGACCTTCCTGGCCGTCACCCCCTAACCATTCCCTAGTGCCGAAACTTCTCCCCTTCTGATGTCGCTGCCCTTCGAGATTCAATGCTAAACCTACGTCTTCCTCCGCTCCTTCAGCTGCACCATTCACTCAATATAACCACAGCACTTCGGATCTCAATGTACAGCTATCAACTAGCAATCCTAAGAAACAGCAGGCAACGGCACGGGTGTGGATCTTCTTGTCTTACATCTTAGCACTGTTGAATTATTAGGGGGGTGGGGGGCCAGGGGGGTGGAAGAAAGCAAGGAGGCAAGCATTATTTTTTTCTGCAATGACCCTCAATACAGCTAATTGTAGACGAAAAGTTCACCAAGAGCAGCATTCTCACTTTCGTTGACCTTTCCACAAGGGCCCCACTCTCTTTCCCCACACCCCACTCTCCACTACTCTTCCCTCCATACCACCATGCTATGGTCCCATGTTCTGGTCTCTAACCCTTGCACCCAACTTCCCCCCAAACCCGAACAGACAAAAAAAAAAAAAAACATCCATTCTCCCCTACTCTTCCATCCGCACCACCCTGCAACGGTCCAATGATCCGGTCCCTAACCCTTTCACAAAACCTCCCCCCAGAACCCGAAAGAAAAAGAAATGAAAAAAGGAACAAAAAACAGATAGGAACAAGTGTGATTGACTCTATGAGTCTCTATCCTCGTTTATAAATAATTGGTTTCATCGAGCATACCTTATCCTTGTGAAATATACCAATTCGCATGATAATATGGAAGGAAATTATGTCACCACAGAAACTAAAGCAAGTACAGGATTTGAAGCAGGGGTAAAAGATTACAGATTAGCTCGCTGTACTCCTGAGTTATTATGAAGTAACACGAGAAGGGCAGCGGCTCCGCGCTATGCAACCAACAGAAAGGACGGAGGAGTTCGAAGGGTCCACACCACTGATTGTATCGGAACAGACAGAGCCTGATATGTGCTGCAATGAGAATCCGAAATGAGCACATGTTACATGCTGAGCCTGCACACGGGCCCCATTTTGGGGGCCTGACAGTTGCTGGGGGGCCCCAGGCCACATGCCCTTCGGACACGCGCCCTGGAGGCCCACGGTTGGCGCTTAGGCCACAGGATTCGAATCAAGACAGCATTTATTTATTTATTTATTTATTTATTTATTTATTTATTTATTTATTTATTTATTTATTTATTTATTTATTTATTTGATGTCCTATTTTTGTCTGTTCAGGCGTCGTTTTGGACCTGCAGTCCCCAAGGCCGCGCCTTGAGCCAGGTACAGAGTCTGGACGTCCGGTCGGGACCCAGACCCAGTAGGCCCACGTTTTTGGGCACAGGACCGTCGGCACACAGAGGCAGACCGGCCGGCCCAGCACTACGTATAGCTGGGCCACGGCTGCGCAGACAGTGCCAGACACAGTTCGAGTAGCTCACTTCTGGAGCAACACGCTGCTGGAGCAGCTCTGCAGCGCTACAGCGCTACGCTGCGTTAGAGGTAGAGGTGTAAGCAGGGATGAGGTGGTGGCCATACCTGTAGGGGCGGTACTTACCTGAGCGCCATAGCTGGACAACTCGCCAGCGACCTGATCGAATTCGGTGGTTAGAACAGACTGAAGGTAGGCCTGAAGTAAGGAGAAAATTATCGAATTCGGCGGTTAGAACAGATGAAGGCATTGTTCTTGAACTTCATTACTGTTGTTATTTGGCCATGGAGGAGCTTTGCGGAAGGCTGGAAGCAGTATTGTGTTGATTATTCTGCTCTTTTCATAATCGATCCTGCTAATTGCTGTGTCGTTGACTGTCAGTGCTGGTTAATGCGAAAACTGTGTTCGTGATGTAAGATTTGCTCTCCGTTTGCCTGAACTACTCGACCTCCTGATTCTATCTTCCATGGAGGGTCATCCCATCATTGCATACAGCCAGTAGGCTCACAGCACCCTACAATTTTTCTGTCATGTCCTACAGCCTCCTGTGACACCGCACAGCTCAATATGCTGACCATTGACTAAAAAAAAAATCAAGAGAGAGAGTGCGCAGCCAGCAGCAACCGCCTCCCCCCCCCCCTCTCTCTCTCTCTCTCTCTCTCTCTCTCTCTCTCTCTCTCTCTCTCTCTCTCTCTCTCTCTCTCTCTCTCTC